TGCAGGTAAAGGAGGGAAGGGGCAGAATTAAATCAGTAAGTCCCAGTTGAGGGAAAGGAGCCAAAAATAGCCTCGTTTTCTGGACAACGCCCTGGCCAAGGGGAAGAAGGGTAGTTGTGCAGGGGGGAGAGATCATTGGATGGAAAAAGAGAGGGGAAGGGGGGAGGTGCCAGGGGAGGGAGCCAGAGAGAGAGGGGCTGCTACCGATTTTGTCCTGGGGGGCTTTGATTGGGAAGGGCTGAGAGGAGGCTGCTTGTCTCTGGGTCCCACTCCCTCCTGCTCTCTCCCTCTCACACACTCGCACACACACAAACAAGCACATCTGGGGGTGGGATGGGCAGGGGAGCACTTGTGCGCCAAGGAGTGGGGCTTGGAGGATGCTGAAGGGCAAGCTAGCACTCTTGACATTTTGCCACATTTTACAATTCTGCTCAGACATAAATTTTAAGCCTGAAAAAGAGGACATGTCCGGGAAAATCCAAACATATGGCAACCCTAAGCTTGGGATGGGGAAGAAAATTGATTCAGTTCACATTTAAAGGTGAACCTTCCGAATTTACCCTTTTTTAAACAATATGTGAATTGAAGCAGAGCCACCCTTTTGACATTAGCACTTCTCTGGATCTTGTGGTGTAGTTTTCCCATTAATGTGCACCGACATGCATATACTAGGATACAGTGTGCCTAAAAATGTGCACAGGAACGCCCCCCCCCAGCATGTGACAGCACTTTTAAGACTCATTAATTAAAACGGAAGAGTTTTACGTTTTTGCCATTGAACTTTAGTTTGTTTAATTTTGATTTCAATGTGTTTATGTCTGTTTTGGCACTGTACTCACTAGCTCCACATAAAGATGGGTGTGGTATAAAACAACAACAACAACAACAACAACAACAACAACAACAACAACTGGTATATTACGGTATCCAGTCTGCATGTAATCAAATGGTGTTAATTACTCTGCAAGTTCAATAGTATTTTGATATCGTCTTTCTACATAATGGAGAACGATTAGCCTTGTTGCCATCACTTCATCAATTGACCAGATATAGACAGAGATGTCTCATTAAGTTATAAGCAAGATGTTTGGAAGCCTTACTAGAAATCTATGTCAATTTTAGAACCTTTTTGCCCAAATGAGTGAATGAAATAGAGCCATTAACACAGAGATTGAGAGATTCACTGGGGGTGTTCAATGCTTAAGGCCCTCAGGAAGGTGCAAAATGCATACAGTGGGTTCCCATGAGATCTATACCTTCCACAATATTTTGTTATTGAAATGCTGTTAGAATTGCATAGGATTCTGCCTCAGGGAAGCAGCAACTACAGTGCTTTAATAAGCACTTTGCCTGGCAAATTACCACTGAACTTTCACCTGAATCATTCTACTAATCTACTGCTCACATCTTTTATTTGCTTTGGTTTTATATTTATTTTATACAATGTTCTAATTGCTTTTAACTGCTGTTCATAATTCTAGCCATACTTGGAAGTTTATATGGCTATTATATTTCTTTAAATAATCTCCAAAGTATTTCTACTCCTCCCTTATAGGGGACTTATCTTGGTTTCTTATCTTTGCTGTCATAGTAGCTGACTCCTTATATTCTATTAATTTATTTTGTCAGTCCTCTTTTGTAGCGATTCCTTTATCCTTCCATTTTTGCGCATAAATTATTCTAGCCACTGCAGTCACATAAAGAGAGACAAAATACTCTCTTGGGAATTTCACCATTTGTTATACCTAATAGTAAGCTCTCCGGTTTGTTTGGAAGATGTCAGCCTTTACATCTTCTTTAGTTCTATGTAAATAATTTTCCAGTATTCTTCAGCTTGCTTACATAACCACCACATATGTATAAAGGTTCCCTCTATCTCTTGGCATTTCCAACATAGTTTAGATCCTTTTTAAATATATTTGTACAAGTTTGCCTGAGGTGAGGTACCATCTATACATCATATATATGTGTGTGTGTGTGTGTGTGTGTGTGTGTGTGTGTGTAAATTCCCCTTAGGAGTATAACATACTGAAAAATTCATTGTTGTTCCACAGTCTCTCCCATGCTGTCATTTCTATATTGTGACCTATATCAGTTACCCAGTGAATCATGGTTGCCTTTATCATTTCATCCTTGGTCTTGCACTCTAGCAGAATTTTATAAATTTTGGAGGTTAGTTTTTCTTTATTTCCTATAATGACTTTTTCAAATTTTGAGCCTTCTTCAGAAAACCCTTTTTCTTAATCTTTTAAAAATACCTCATTCACCTGATAATATTGGAACCAACCCCTATTCCACTGTGTATTTCATTAGTCTTTTATGACACGTTTATTGTAGTTTGATTTTAGATATCTTGTTGGGAAATGCCCAGCATTACAATTTAATGAACAGTTTATAATTCTGGTAAATAAGCTACATGACTACCCAGCACCTCTGCCAGACATGATACAGGGAAAAAGATAGCTGCCATGTGGGCCAATGGCCAATCTTTTCCCTTCCCCTGGAGTAGAGTTTCACTCAGTTTGCATTTTAAAACGAAACAACTTAATTCACATATCTCAGAGAATGAAGTTAGCAGACTGCTCATCTCTGAATGCAGTTTCAGTTTCACTTCAAAAAATGTATGCAAAAATATATATTCTTAATGAGTAAAGCAGTAGAGAGATACATGTAAAAAGCATGTAAATATATACCTTGGGGGGTAGGACTAGCTGGGAGGCCGGTGGAGCCAGCTTAAGAAAGGAGGTGGCGGCAGCAAGGAAGGAAAAAGCTCCCAAGCACCTTGAGGCAGGGTGCGGCCAGTTGCATTTGGAGGGGTTTGGAGTGGCTCCCCTAAGCTAGCCTGCTGCCTTAAGTGAAGTGGAGGGTGCTCTCCTGCCACCATTGTCAAAGTCGGGGCAACCCAGTTGTGGGATATAAAGCTGTCAGTCAAGTCCAACATTCCTAGAGGACTAACTGCCTCTATGTGGCAGGCAGTTTTGTCGGTTGGTTGGTTGCTGCAAGGAGTGTTAACTGGTAACTGCTCAGATGCAGTCTTCTCATGATTCACTACTATATAGTATATGGTTTATCTATTATGTAACCTAAGCCTACCTTAAGGAACAACTCTGTAAACCTGAATGAATCTGATAGTAAAGTAGTTTACGTTAATGTGATTCAGATTCATGTGTGTTTTCTTTAAGAGGGACAGAAAGGGATTATCAACCAGGAAGGTATAATTATTGATAGGACTCAAACGAGTTAGCAACCTGCTTGTCACTGCATAAATTCAAACAGGGGATTGTTTAAACTTTGCTAAATTATATAAACATTCCCACACCAGTCAGATGGGCAGGGTATAAATTATAAAAAATATTACTATTATTAAGTCAAATTCAATTTGAATTGAAATTCATTGCGATTCAAATTCAGTTGGCTTTTGTATGTCAAATGGGGAAGGGCACCATCTTGTCCTTCCTCTCAGGTAGCAACAGCAAAATATCTTGGATTTGCCCAGGACAAAGAGTATTCAATTCCTGTTGCAAGTGAGACTATGGAATGCCAAAAGTTCTAAGAGCAGAACGTTTGACAGAGTTCTCTGTCTTCTGCTGCAGGTGCCAGAGTTTTATCATATGCTGTTCCAAACATTTCCTTCTTTTTAATGTGTACTCCATACTTGATGTTTTAAAACCACAGGGAAAACTGAGTGAAATGTAATGTGTAAATCAGCCCTTTGAGAGTCTGATATAAAACTCTGGAAAAGAATGATAACATGCTAAGTACTTCCAGTCCCCAAATATGTCAGTGTGCATCACATCACAGAATAAAACTAGAAAAGCATCACACTAAGAGCCCGGATTCAAACTTCTCTTGCTTGTTACTGTTTCAAAGGTATATTTGAGAAATCTGATAGAAAGTGTTTGTATGTCTATTAGAATTGTGTGCTACAGCTGCAAGACTGGAGCAGGAAAGATATCACTCAGTTCATATTTAAAGGCACATTTTAAATTCGCACTTTACGAAGACTGAAACATATCCATCCATTGAAATGAACACTTCTCTGAATTTCACAATAGTTTCCAGCCCAGTAATATGTGCAAAAATGCATATACTGAGGTGAAGTGTGCATAAAATGCATAAGGTAAAAGGTAAAGGGACCCCTGACCATTAGGTCCAGTCGTGACCGACTCTGGGGTTGCAGCGCTCATCTCGCTTTATTGGCCAAGGGAGCCGGCATACAGCTTCCGGGTCATGTGGCCAGAAAGACTAAGCCGCTTCTGGCAAACCAGAGCAGCGCACGGAAATGCCGTTTACCTTCCCGCCGGAGCGGTACCTATTTATCTACTTGCACTTTGAGGTGCTTTCAAACTGCTAGGTTGGCAGGAGCAGGGACCGAGCAACAGGAGCTCACCCCGTCGCGGGGATTTGAACTGCCAGCCTTCTGATCAGCAAGTCCTAGGCTCTGTGGTTTAACACACAGCGCCACCCATGTCCCTATAAAATGCATATATTAGTGCAAATATACAAAATGAATTATATTAGGGAAATTGTGCTTTACAAAAATGTGCATAAAAATGCATGCAAAAATATGTTTAGTAAGGGAAATTCACATTCAAATGCTGATGAATTTTCACATGGATTCATTTTTATCTCAAAGTAATGTGGAAATTGTCATGAGCCAGGAGTCGGCTTCACCTGCTGAGCAGCAGCCTGAAGGAGCAGAGGTGAAGTGACTCTACCTGCTGCTGATCAGCCTTCTTGCTCCTGATGTGATCTGGCTGGCTCCAGCTTTCTAAAGCAGGGTTTGCAGCATAACATGTTCTCCCTAGCAGAGAGCACGTGTTGCGGTGGGGGATACAAGCCACCCCAGTGTTGCTGGGCGGATTTGCGGAGTGACCCAGGCAGTGAATTGGTTAATTGGGTCGCTGGGGAGAATTGCTTGTTGCCAATTTTGAAGGAGGGGTCAGAGGTTTTAAATATTGGACGCCCAACTTTGGGCGTCCTCTTGGCTGCTTGCACCAGATCACATGGAGTACTTGCACCATCTGGAAGACAGTGGAGCGATCTTCTCATTGTCTGGTTACATTTCTTTATTTCCCCCTTCTCTTTAATCCCCTTAATTAATTTAATTCCACCCCTTTTCTTTTCCTGTTTGATTTCCCACTCCACCCCTTACCCTGCCCTGTGGGAAGATTCTCCCTGTACCTGTGAGTGCTGCCTGTGCATAATGCTCCTTGGCTTGCCTTTCCCAATAGGGAGAGAGCCCCCATTAGGGGCTTGCTTTTGCAGAAAGGTTTCCCTCGTTTTGCCTGTTTGTTAATTGTGGGGCTAGTCAGGACTGTTCCCAGCCTAGCTGGAATCACTTTCGTTTATAGTATCCCCAAAGGTAGCTTTATTTTGGGTGTGTGCAGCGCTGTTGGCCGAATTTTTATCTAGCCTTGGGCAGGAGCACCATTTTGAGCTTCCTTTAATATTGCAAAGAGTCAAAGATTCTTAAGAGCAGACGCAGTGAGGCCTACATTCAAGCCTAAGCCTGCTGCAGTTAGCAGTAAATTGTTAGCAACCACTCACTTGTGTGTATTTAAATAAAGTTGTGGCCAAAATCGTGCCAAAAGCCCAAACCAAAAGTGATGTGTGATGTGTGAATTATTGGGAGTTGGCTCGGGGACCTCGACACGCAACAGTCAGTTGCTGGAAACAACATTCCTGGACCTTGCTGCTTCTTGCTTCTCGTGACCCTTAGCTTTCTTGACTCCTTAATCGTCTGACTATGTGAACTGAAATACTCCTGATCTTAGGTCTGGACTGAACCTTGCATTCAGACTTTACCTCCAGGCAAGTACCCCCCTGAGTTTGTTTGGCTGGTTGGCTGGCTTCTCCCTCCACTGAGCTCTGCCAGGGCTAGCAGCACAGGTCTACAACAGAAATGTAGAGAACTGAATGAGAATCTGAGAGAAGCCAGAACTGATACATTTGCCTATCCCCACTCTGAAACAAAGCAGCTCATCCAGGTTTTTGTATTCCATAATTCTGTAGTAGCACAGGGTCTAATTGGGGCTGAACTGCATCAATCATCATCATCATCATTTACACCATTCCTCCCAAAGGGGCCTGGGTGAGGTAGTGGCTGCATAATTCAACTAGTGGGAAAATTCAGAGTTTCTCGCCCGAGACCTGCTTGAAAACATGTGGGGTAATCACATTGAAAACTCATAAGCCAAAGAAGTGGCTGGATAAAACTTGCAGCAGCAGATGTTTCAGCCGTGCCTAATTTATTGTCCCCCACCATGTGCAAAATCGGACTTGAATTATGCAACCTAATACAGAATACATTGTACAAATGTTCATTTTGCATAATTTATACTTTGACTGTAGAAACTAGTTTTTCTTGGTACAATGGTTGGCATCCCATTGCATGTTACAGAATTTGTTTTATTTATTTTAGCACAAAGTGCAGACAGGAATCTATCTATGTATTATGTTTATAAGCAACCATTAAGAGGGGAATAAACTTTCACTTTGTAGTAAAAATGTAAGCATGAAGACAGATTCCCGATATTTAAAGTACAGATTTACTTAGGCTATTCCAATCCCAAACATACTAACTAGAGTGTATGCATCATTTGGCACAGTGAGACCTACTTCTGAGTAAATATGCATGGGATTTGTCCTGTAAGGAATTACTGTCTACAGATATTTAATGCATCACAGAACCAGAACAGAAGGAGGAGCAATTCTGACCTGACTGTCTACTTATCACAGGCCAGTGAGTAGAGGCGTGTGCATGTGCTTCTTTTTCTATTCTCTGGTTGACTGTGCTATGCTGGATGCTCTACGTAACAACCTGGTTTGTACAATTATTTCTCCTTACAAAGAGGAGAAAGATTCTGCCACATGGGCTTAAACATGTGTGGCTTCGCACTCTACATTATTTATTGGTTCAATGAGAGAGGCACATTCCTTCTGCTCCACTATGAAAATAATGTTGATGTTGGAGCATGTGCATGAACTAAGTCTTAAATCTTACTTCTATGTTATTTGCAGTGCTGTGCTTGTTGCCACTCCCTTTGCAGTTACTTCCAGGGTGCATCTGGTAACATCTACCCTTACGACTGCACACAGCTCACATTGATCTTTAACATGCTGTTAAGTTCTTTGTGTGCGGTTGGCCTACGCAAAGCGTATACCATACGGGGCTGGGCAGGTAGAAGCAATTGCAACCAATGGCTGCCTTGCTAGATGCAGCTGGTTTTTGCTATTGATGCAGTCATGGTGTCATCTGTGCAAGGCTGGGGTGGAAACTGCCTCCATGTGCCTACAGACATCTTAAATGCACCAATGATTCATCCCTCAGACATATTAAAATTGTGAGCACCTAAATGCAAAAGAATTGGTTTGTATTTATCTTGCTCTGACAAGTAAAACTAAATCTGGGCAAAATATGAAATGGCAGAATTTTTCTTTCTGGGGAAAAAAAAATCTTGATGCCACTTCAAATGGGAGCTTTGCTGTTCTTAGCAGCCCATTTGCTTCCCTGGGACAGAATCCCACATGAGAACAGCCCTGCATCGTGTTGTAATATCATTCCCAGAGGCATTCCCGGGGGCGGGGAGAGAGAGAGCTCTGCTCATTGGCAAATGGGGGCAGCCATTTGTTCCACTCCAAGAAATGCCCATGGGAATGATGTGACATCAAATTGCTGTGGTGTTCGCATGAGGAGGTCTGTCTCGGGAACATAGGAAGGATGCTTTGGGAGGGCAAACTTCCTTCCTTCTTTTTTAGAAAAGAGAAAAATAAAGAAATAAAACATTATTTGAAAGTGTGAAACAACAACAGCAACAAACTGTTCTCATCATAGTTTTGCACCAGCTATATGGAGTGTAATGTTATTCACTAGGTTTCACTGGACTTGGTAATATGTCAGGAATTTCCTGTTACTGTTCTGTACTTGTTTGAGAAAGACAATATATTTCTTTTCTAACTTCTTGATGTGTGTCTTCCTTCCAGGACATCAGGACAGCTGACACGTGAATGAGAAGATGGTGGTTTACAGTAAGAAGTGAATTTGACCATTTTGGTGGGGGGGTATTACTGAGATTTTCCAAAAAGTGGGAGATTGCACTCTTTGTTCCCAAAGCATTTGAAAAGATATTAAAAACAATGGAGGGATCAGCAACTACAAAATGTGACAGTGCCTATTCTTGCCAAAAATGTTTCTGATTTATAACGTTATGCATCGTTGCATTGAAAATGAATCCCTCAGGGGTGATTGAAGACTGAAAAAAGCAACTAAAATGGAAAGGGTGAAATTCTACCATGGCAGCTGTCCTTAACTCAACCCGTTGTGGCCATATGTAACCATGGCTGTGACCTGCAGCCCTGTTCATGTGTTATGCCTGAAGAGGGAACTGGAAGTGGATGCACATGCCAGCACCACAACCAACATCCATGCATACTCTGGCATGCCTGACCTCAATTTCAGCAGGAAGGCCTGAAGGGGAAATGTAAGCATGTTCAACTGAACACCTTTATATTCCTCCTTGTAAATGGGAATCATAATTGTGCTGGGTTTTCAGGCATGGGGAGGATCATAAACATCTTCCCAATTTATTACAGGATTGTGTAAAGGCTGCATGTCCCATTTTTACAGTTTCCCTTGTATGATACCATCTTACCCTTGGCAATTTTCCTAAAATATTGCTGACTCAAGGAAACTTGAGTGTATCATATCTAAATCACTGTTATATGCGGCTCCCAAGTTCAATCAAGTATGAGACAATGTGTGCAGAACTAGGTATACACACAATGGGATATTGGGCCAGCACTATAAAATAGTGATTACGTTGCCATTTCTGTTGCCAACCTTTGAGTCTGCTCTCTGACTTACTTAAAGGCTCTTATTATCAATCCAGATTGTTCCACCTCTTACATAGCAAAATCAGATCTATTAGTATTGACTTGCAACTCTTGTATAATTCAAGTGAGCAATATATTTATTGTAATATTCTAACCAGATTAAGGGACACTGAAAAACAAAACATTGAATCAGCTATAAATAAAATTTGCTCCCCCAAGTTCTATGGTTTAAATACAACCGATAACAGGGTCACTTATAGTTCAAAATTAGTAATTCCAGCCTTGGTTAGCCCAACTGAACGTTTTCCCTTCAGCTTTTGTCAAGGGCAGAGCATCGCCAGAAACAACAGGCATTGCAGACGTTCTTTGAATGTGCCAGACAGTAGAACATATTCTTTTCTACTGTCCATTGTACAATCAGCTACACAAATGCGTGCTATTCCCCTTTTTTGGGTAGTCCAACATCACGGCACAATGAAAACATCAGATTCTATCTGTCTGATATTAACCCAGAAGTAACTGCAAGGGTGGCTGAGTTTTTATCAATAGTATCTCTTAGAGTGGTTAATGAAAATCCTCGTTATTACATATTTTTACATGGCTGTTAATTTGTATATATTTCAAAATTTTATCTACGGATGTTTTATGATGGCCTATATTTGTAATGCCTAATAAAGGTTTGGCGAAGTAAGTAAGTAAGTTGATGCAAAGTCATTTTCTCTTGATGTTCACTCTGTGGTTCTCCTGCTAAAATATAGTCCCCCTGAGGGCTTCTGATTCACAACTGAGTAATTTTACTCTGTCTATTCAGGCCCTTTGTGAATTGAATGGATATTATTGCTTCAGATCCCCTCGCTCCTAGATGCATGATATTGTCCTTGGAATCATGAATGGCTTTTGCTGTGGGATCACAATTTTCAGAAATGCTGCCTTCCATAGCTGCTATTCTCTGGAATTATATTAAAACTTCTAAAATATGTAGTATCAAATACCACATGCATTAATCTAGGGAGCATATGAAAGTACTGCATATATTAATTGTATCTCATCACTTCAATACCTTGAGTTATGCACAAAAAATAATGAATATATAATCACCAAACCCAAGTAAGATAGTGAAGTATTTTTAGCATGAATATTTTGGGACATGGAAAGACATTGCTTAGACAAAATAAACACTAACTAACTTTTATATTGAACATTTCTCTGTATGTGGTATGTTCTTGGAATCATATTTTATCCCTTAACCTGTTTGCTAGGATAGTAGTCAGATTTGGGCATTCTTATGGAATTAACTGCATTGATCAACATGTGAACCATGTGAACCATTTGTTGTCCCTAGAGCAAGAGGCACTGGACCAAAAATCAAATAAAAACCAAACCAGGTTACGAGTTAATCATTGAATATGCAAAATTCTTACCTATGAAAGACGTAGCCTGGATAAATGGCATTTTAGGGGGTAACAGTGCTATTTAACTTGTTCACAAATGATCTAACATTTGGGTTGGGCATCAGTGTTTTAGATTGCACCAAATTATTCAGGATGGTGGAAAACCAAGCCGTTCGTGAAAGGAAGAATGGACAACATATTGGCAAGTCATGTTCCATAAAAGTGTATAGTAATGCATATTGAGGGGGAGGGCTGAGTTTGCATATACAGGGAGGAGTTCTAAAAATACTTTGATTACCCAAGAAAGATATCTTGGTGAAAAGTCCCCTGTAAAAATTAGACCTACGTGCTTATATGACAATGGGGGAAATGGCAGATTCAGGGGTAGAAATTAATGCAATTATGGATTGAGTACAGTGTAATTTTTGGCTACCCTATCTTTCTATATAAAGAGACGTGGATATGTAGAGCTGCATAAGCTGTGGGAAAGGACAATAAAATGATCAATGGAGTCTTCTCTTCAAGGGCTTTAAAAAGTTTACAAAGGAGATTTCTACTAGAAATCTGTTAAATCCTGAATGCCAGAGAGATTAATATATGTCTAATAACTCTAGAAAATGAGATCATTCAAAGAAATTGGCAGTAGGTACAGGACTGACCCACATAAAATTCTCCTTCACAAACCACTTAAATGTTATTCATTATTGCCACACGATGCTGCATCCAGTTAGATGAATTCAAAGGGAAATCCATGGATGCCAGAACTATTAATTGCTCTCGTTCAGCGCCATATTGAATATATTTATTCAGGTAAAGGAGAAAACAGGCAAGCATTTCTATGGCAGAGGTTGTGGTGATATCATAGCCATCCACATAGTCTTGGTAAATAGAATGGAAGAAATGGAACTGAGTTTTGATTTTGATTTCATTTTCTGGGGCGGGGGGCATAAAGTTGCATTGGACACCAGTATTAAGGATGATTTATATTGGATATGGGTCTTAAGCTTTGTTGTACTGAGGGACAATATTCTGGTTTGCATGTTCTTGTAGACGTCTGTAGTTAATTATCTTATTGCCACTATATAGGGAGACTCTTGAAAGGCTGGACAATTGCTGTTGCATATTGCCATTGTTGACAATGATCCAACAAATTTATGTACAGATACCTGGTAGTTTCTTTAATGTTTCTACTTCAATCTCCTGTTTCAATGCTATGAATTGTTCCCTGAATAAGTCTGATGCTAAACACCACCTTATTGTTGTCTAGAGCATGGTGCTGATAACCCCAAGGTTGCAGGTTTGACTCCTATATGGGACAACAGTTTATTCCTCCATTGCAGGGGGTTGAACTAGATGATCCTCAGGGTCCCTTCCAACTCTGACTCTATGATTCCAGATATAGGTGGATTTTTGGCTTGGGCATTGGTTGTCTATCTGTTCCAGCCCCCCCTCCCAACAAAAAAAGGTAAATTATTTAATTTTAAAAAGATAAGGGAACTCAGTTGCTTTTCAGCTGCATGACATCACATATGATGTCAGGCATAGGGTGAATGGGTGTGGCTTCAGGAAAATGGCCTCCGGAGCCAAATTAGTATCTCTTTCAGGCCTAAATAGGGCTACAGCAGGCTTCCTCAGCCTCAAGACTACAATTCCCATCATCCCTGACTACTGGTCCTGCTAGCTAAGGATCATGGGAGTTGTAGGCCAAAAACAGCTGGAGGGCCGAGGTTGAGGAAGGGCTACAGGACTGAAGGTTTCCCACCGCTGATGTATCTATGTAAACTTAATGTAGAGCTGTGACGGTGTCAGTATTTTTAAGAGGAGGAGCATCCCTCATAGGCAGCTGAAAGCCCATTACTGAGATTATCCTCAGCAATCCTCTTAACAGGGGCAGAAGGCGCTTCAACCCCCTCAATATTTTGAGGCAGGAGCTCCAGCCTCCCCCCCCCAAATATTGAGGGGGCCAACATCCCCCAGCACTGCTGGGCACCCTCCAGGCACCCCGGGAGCCTGGGGGGTGGCTGGAGCAAGTGAGGATGAAGCTCGCCCTCTGTGTGTCCTGCCCCTGCTTGGCACATGCCCTGGGGAGGAGGCTAAGCCCAGAGGCCGTGCTCTGCCACCTCCCGCCTGCCCGATGCCACAAAGAGAATGTTGAGCACCTCCTTCTCCTGTCCCCTCTCCACCTCCAGAACACCCATGCAGCCTGGCTCAGTGTATGAGTGCTCGCACGCTGGGCAGGGGCAGGGCACGTCACATGATGCGGGCAAGCCAGGACCCCTGCCACTTAGTGGACCTGCCATGCTACGCTACAGCAAGAATGTCTATGTAGCACTTTCAGAGTGTTCAGAACACTTCCTATGCATGATCTAATTACAGCCCTAGGCATATGGAAGGCTTTTCAGCTGGACCGCAAATTCTCACATGGGGAACTTTTACCAGTGAATTGAAGGTGGATGTGAGATGTAATCCAGGAGCATTTCACTAGGCAAGCTCTCATGTACCTGAGAAACACTCACCTTAAAAAACCACTTACTTTCTTTCTTGAGCATCAATGGGTTGTGTCTCCTGTATTCTCTTTGAGAGAGTGATAGAATGAAACCAAGTGACCCTGTGACTTAATCTCCTGCAAGTCAGTTCTATTGTTCTTACCCAGTCATTCACTCTGATTTCTCTAGAGAGAGGCAACACAGTTCAAAAGCACTCTTCACCCTTATGCGTCTTTCAGCTGGTTTAAGATACTTCTTCCAACTCATTTGCCAAGTGTTATTCCTATTTATAGAGACACAAAGCATTTAAGTGCCTCGA